GTCGCCGAGGTCAACTCCTTCGGTGCCAATTGCGCTTCAGTCCGCACCCTTAGGAGGTCCGCGGGTCCCTCAACTAGGTGAATTACTCCTTCTTCGACCTTCATTCTAATCGTGAATTCGTCCTTTAACTCCGCTCAAAGAATCGTCCACCAGATTCAAAAGCTTGATTTGAGATCAGCCTCGAAAAGCACTCCTAGGCGTACACATCTCTTTTTGAGGGGCCATGGCGACCTAAAATCCTTTTCTTGCGAGTAGAAAGAAATCCACCGGAACTGCTACCCAACTTTTTCTTCAAACAGTGGTTCGTTTTAACTTAAGATGAGGAAAAGAAATTTAGGGCAGATGGCGGTCATCACGTTTGTTTTGTAAGCGATGAAAATAGAGCCGTCGCTCCATCGTTTTTTGAGCATGGGATGGCCGTAATCAGTCTCCCCGAACTGCCTAATCACTACAAAGAAATGTTATCGCATGGATCAGCCGACGAATTGCGATCTCTTGGACTTGGAGTCGGGGCTGCTCTTCACGAGATTGGCCATTTGGTAAGTACCGGCTATTAATTTTAGTACCAAGTCGTATCATGAGCGATGACTTTGATGGATGTGTGACAGTGGGGTTGGGGAAGGGGTGGGGAGGCGTTCCGCTCAAGCTGAGCCAACGTCGAAGATTTCTCGCTGAGAGATGGTGGGTCGGTATAGCTGTCTAATTTCTTACGCGCGTTCTCAGCTAAGATGTCAGGTATACCCGCTCTCCGACGTAGGGAATTTTTTTTTCATTGCCTTGTGTAGAAGAGGAACTTAAGGTTGAGACAGGTTGAGACGCAGATGGTAAGGGTACCCATCCCTTACCCGGGTTAGTGCTGCTGCCGGCTTGGTCTGCAACTAGTCTTTTATCCAGAAACTAAGCGAGCGCACACAGCGAAATGTGCTGGACCCTTGTCTCTGTATTGAAGCGTATTATTTATTAAAGCTCAAGCATAAAGTAGACGAGGTTGACGGAAGACTATCGGGCAAAGCATCATAACAAGGCGCAATTACGAAGTTAGACGGGAGGGTGAGCATCACGTGATTGAGTTCACTAGTCCTCGAATAGGCAGGGATAAACCCACGAGGTGGTACAGGATCCAAGCATCTCGGGTCCGTGAGAGCGGTAATCTTTAGAACAGCTCATCGCTACATGGCCCCGCCCTAGGCAAAACGAGTCATTTTCCAAGAATGGTTTACGGACACTTGAACTTTCTTCTATGTCCTGCCACGAGTGGCGGAGACCACAGAGAGAACGAGACCATCAGAGAACGGCGCATGGTTTGGCTCCAAATCTCTAGGATGGAGGTGAGAACTCTGGGATTAGGCCTTGTAGGGGAAAGGACCCCGAGATAGGTGAGCCAACTACAGTGTGGCAAAAGTTTCAATGTGTGAGATCCAGTAACATGAAGCCGCTTTTGGAAAGGCGAGAAGGGCCAGGCTTTAACCATAACAGACGCCGTGCGCCCACATCTGCTGGCGCAAGCCTACCCTGGGTGCCGGCGTGCGCCACCATGTGGCGCACGCGCGAGAGACGATAAAAAAGCCAGCCGGCACACAGGGCTTGCTCGCGCAAAAACGCCGCCGTCCGCTTATTAAAGGAATCTTGCGCGGAAAAATCATGATTCTATTTCAGCCATAAATCACTGGCTTGAGACTCATTATCCACGATAATAGTGAAAAGAACTGAAGTATTGCTTTCGTTTTGATTAGAAATTCGAAAACGAAAGGCTGCTACGCGTTCGAATTGCCCACGGACGTCTTTCACGAATGCTGGCGACGGGGATGCTCAAACTTGGTTCTTGGAGTGCATTCACTAGAAGCTCTTTCTGGCCTTCTGCTTCGTTGCATTCACATCTTACACTTCTACTCCATCCTATTCCATCGATCGATTTGTCTCCACTCTCCGAAATCGCGCGCTTTAACCCGATTCTCTCATTGCGTCGCCTGGTACGTAGCCGGCCAAACGCCGTCTTCTTTCCATGCCTCGCCTGGCTCTGCCTCCTGGTCCTTCGATGGTCCATAACGTGTAGTTTTTGTACGTTTGTTTCTCTTCAGAAACCGAATCTTCATGCGTGAAACTTTGTGTGCTATTTCCAGTGATCACAACTGACATATTCATGTTAGGAAAGAGTGCAAGAATTTTCCGCGCAAGATTCCTTTAAGAGTTCAAGGAGTCTGTTGACCGTGTAAGAATCACAAGGTGCCTGCAAAGCCCTGCATCTACAAGAGAAAGGGATCACTCCGTCTAATGGTGTGGCAGGTCCGCAGTAGCTGTCCACTCGGCTTTTCGAGATTTTGATCATGGCCAGAAGGCGTGCTCTTTTGGAGATTGCTTTTAAAGAGCATGCTCTTACTTAGAGATCCACTCTTCGATTGCTCTTTACTTCCAACATTTTAACATGAAGAAAGTGAAGGATAAGTTTCTCGGGAACGAATAAAGTTCAGGGGTGGCATTGGATTTTAGGAAAATCCAGCCCGCCGATTTGGCATTGACATTCCCTCTTCACAGCAGCCCTTGTCCTCCTATCTGCTTCGCTGTCTGTATCTCTACATGCTAATTCACTCGAGTCATCCTTAACAGGATCGGCAGAATACTAGATGAAGGACAGCCATGCGAGCAAGCAGGGTTTCGAAGAGGGTTCAGCACGATCGACCATATCCACACGGTTACAAGACTCATTGAAGTTTCACGAGAGTACAAGATGCCGCTTTGTCTCACGTTCATCGACTTGAAGAAGGCCTTCGACTCTGTGGAGACAGAAGCGGTCATCGAAGCCTTGGGCAACCAGGGCGTCCCTACTCAGTACATCAAGATTCTTCGTGAGCTCTACAGCAACTTTACGACCAGAATCTCACCATTCTACAAGGAGGTCATCATCGACGTCAAGAGAGGGGTTCGACAGGGCGACACCATCTCGCCCAAACTCTTCAGCGCCGCTCTCGAGAACGTCATGCGTCAACTGGAATGGGAAGACATGGGAGTGAAGGTCGACGGCCGGCAACTACACCACCTTCGTTTTGCTGACGACATCGTTCTTATAACGCCGAACATCGAGCAAGCGGAGCGAATGCTGGCTGATTTCGACTGCGCCTGTGGTAAGGTTGGTCTACAGCTGAACCTAACGAAGACGATGTTTATGAGAAACGGATTGGTTCTGATGCCCCATTCACGCTCAACGGAACGAACATCACCGAATGCTCCAGCTACGTGTACCTAGGTCGGGAAATCAATATGATGAACGATCTAGCTCCAGAGCTGAGCAGGAGGAAACGAGCGGCTTGGGGAGCGTACAAGAACATCGAGGGAGTAGTGAAGAAGACGAAGAACATCCGGCTCCGTGCCCACCTCTTCGATTCCGCTGTCCTTCCTGCCCTAACCTACGCCTCAGAGACTTGGACTCTGCGCAGGCAGGACGAGCATGCGGTCAGCGTTATCCAACGCGCTGTCGAGAGGACGATGCTAGGAGTAACCCTATACACGCAAGTGCAGAGGGGAATCCGGAGTTCCGAACTACGCCAACGATCGAAGATCAGGGACGCTGCCGTTTTCGCCAAGGAATCGAAGATAAGGTGGGCCGGACACGTCATGCGATTTTGCGATGACCGTTGGACCAGAGCGGTTACCGACTGGATCCCTCGGGACGTCAAACGAACACCTGGACGACCGCCGGCCCGATGGTCAGACTTCTTCACGAAAGCTCTGAACGAAAGGAATGAAGGACATCGTGTCCCTCGAGCGAGGAGGGTCCACTGGACAACTCTTGCACGCGACAGGGACGAATGGAGACGTTGCTGGCGCCCGCTCGAGCAATTCGATGATCAACGGGACGACAGGTGATACAGGTGATACCCAACCACTTTTTCTATCTGAACTTTTAGCTAGATTCCTTCCGTTTTGAATTTTTTTTTTTGAAAAATTTGAAATTTTGCATAAGCGTGATGAATTGATCGCTACCTGCTACTTATGTGATCTTGGGTTGCCCGTCTTTTGCTCATCCATTTCGCATATTTCGTACGATTTCTCCGATTTTCCCTAATGCTCAGTCAGAACTTTTCAGTTGGGAGCGTTTCCATTCCACTCAAGGCATTATGAGTCAACGGCCAAATGCTATAAGGTTTGCAAATAATTTTGATGAGACCATCACCCTTCCAAAATTTGATGTCTAATTTGCATAAATTTAAAGCATTCAAATCCACCGGTTTGCTTTCAGTTTATTCCATGCCAATTCGGATGATTCGATGCGGAGGCCAGGGCCCCTCCGTGTTTCTTTGATAACTTCTCCACTTGCTTATTTGCCCATGGACCATTCTTCAACAGTTCGGATATTCCAGCCCGGCCTTTATCAGTTCATTACAGAACGACAGAAGAAGCTGTACATATTAAATGTATTCATGGAATACTGCTCGTCGTCATTGTCAAAGGGTAAGCTCCTCTTGTGGGGATACACTGCAAAAAGGTAGATGCAGATAGGGTGGCGGCAAAAGTCGTCACTCGCTAGTTATGGGCTACTGGGTCAGCTCCAGTTCAGACCATCCCCGCCTTCAATCGCATAAAATTTAGCTAAATAATAGCATATTCGGAAAATATGGGGAGATGAGCCTACAGTCCCGTTTGTGAGCTCCGTGCCGGTCTATGTGCTTTCGATTGTGCAAAGTATCGAACGACAGAATGCCTGGCGCATCCTCGGGGTATTGTTCGTTTGAATGCTCGATCATCAATCTCTTATTTTTCGCATCGGTTTTCTTCACAGTCAGAAAAACAACATTGATGTGATATATCAGTTTCCTACCTTATTTTGTAGCCGCGATGTGGATATAATCTGATCTTTTATAAAGATAGCACGTATTCAGGACGACGTATCACGATCTCAAAGTATATGACGATCTCCCAACCACTGTAACCCTTCAAATAAAAGAAGAACTCTGGGATCTCATTCAGGTTTATAATGGCTTTCATCATGTTGAAAATATTCGAAATAAAATGTTTTCTATCTCAAGGTTTACTGCATTGTTTCCATTTGAGATTTGCAACAGTCAACAAGAGCACTGGCTTCAAATTGCTTATTGGGAGTATGAAAGGGCATTGTGAGGTAAAATATGCGCAAAAGATCAGTTTCTGCATTAAAGGCACAGCTAGCGATTGAATAGGTAATGATTGCTGTTTCCGAACATAGAAGTAGCTTTGGTGTTTGGTCATCTTTGATGAAGGAAGGGAAGAAACTGCTGAGAACAGCTGAAATCACGTCGCGCGCCGATTGTGTGGGCGGGGCTTAGCTCCGCCCACGGAAACCCCATTGGTTCCCCCCCCCCCATTTATCAACCGTATTTTAACAGGTGGGAAGAGCGGCGGCCAACCAATGAAATTCTCCAACTCAAACCCCGTCACCTACTGGAACGCCAGTTGACTTACGAGTTCTTAGCATATTTGTGGCACTGAATGGACTAATTCTTCCAAGTATGTTTGTGGTAGAGCCTCTACCAATCCGATCGCTGAATATACCTTTGACCCAATACTGACGTAATACTCTAGCTGAAGAGAAGTGGGAGTTTCGTCTTATGGTTAGAACAAGATCGCCATGAAAATCTTGAATTTCTGATGCGAATTTCTACATCACAGAAACAAAACCGAAGACAAAATGTATTGAGGTGAGCCGTGTGGGTGGCCGCTGTCGTACATCAAGAGCTTCAGTCACGGTTGGAGACCTCCAGTCTAATAACTAGAACTGAAAGCTCCATTATTGTATTTCGATATGAAGGCGAAGACGGTAAAAGAACTCAGGGAACTCAAGAGTATGGTCACTCGAAAAAAAAAACGCGGAGAAATGTATGGATGACTCCATTAACACATTGTGCCTTACTGCGCACGACGAGAATAAAGGATGTTTACAGGCTTCCCGGTTTTTTGGAGAGCAGTTCACAAAAAAGGAGTACGCAGTGCAGGTATGGTGCACTGAGAAGTGGCGCGAGTGCCACCACATCCTGGTGGGGACTAAAATCCGGAAGTGATTTCAGCCACAGCTAACTAAGCCTTCCACAAAGATG